GCGGCCAGTTGAAGGGCCCTCTCTCATCCAAGCCAGCTGAGAAGAGCAAATCAGTAACATAGCCAAGTGGTTTTATATATACATAGGCTGGGGTCATTTTATAGAAAAAGAGGTGCAGGAGCTCATTAGCATAACTTATTTGCATAGGCCACACCCCCTGACATCACCAGAAGTGTGTCAGAAGGCAACACCCGCCGCTCAGACTCCACTGGACTGTTTTGGATTGCTAGCTATTGGGGTGGGGGGGAACGTGCAGATCTGTCCTCACAGAGGAGGGAGAGCTTGTACCTGAAGGTGGGCTGGGGGGGGGGCCCTGCAACTTACCTGGGTACTTCTTGCTCCTCATGGCTCAACTGAGTGCTGCTGGGAGCAGGGGGCGGGGCTTGTTGCATGTGCCCGCCCCCTGGGCTTCTTACTGCCGGAGCTCCGCTCCTGTGCGCTCCCACAGGAAATAATCCCTGTATATAGGGGATTTGCTTTGAAGAACTCTTTGAGAAAGCACGAATACGCCCCCATTTTCTACAAAAGCTGGATCAGACCTACCCTGTTCCAAATTAAGATGAGTGATTTGGGCCATCATTAACCCTTGCTAGTTCCAGTGGTAGATACAGGTAAACAAGGGGCGATGCTCATGGAACAATCCAAACAAAGGGGTTGCCGGGCAAAACCCTGCTTTTTTTTTCGGGGGTAGGGGTAGGGAACCATGTCCCCCTACTACCAGTTCAACACTAAATCACGAAACCGTCAGTGTGGGGGCGTGCCGTCTGGGTACGACTAGGTAGCTTGTTAATGTACTACTGAACTTTGGTATACTAGATATAGTTATGTTGTAAAAAAGATCCTCGAAAGCCACGATTGTGGCCTTTTTGTTCCGACCACCAACCCTGCTGTATTCCAGAACTTATATTAAATAAAAACTTTTAAGTTTATCTAATTTGTTCCGCTAGCGTCTTCAGTGAACTTCACGGGTTTGTAACTTACGTTGCACCCTGGGGTAGAATGGACACGACGAGCACGTGTCCTGCTTTCTTTGCAGTAGTCAAGGGGTGTCAAACGGATGGCCCCAAGCGCCGGAATGTGGCCCTGTGAGCAACTGGTGTGTGTGTGAGGGGGGGGGAGGCAGGAGGTTGCTCAGGGGGGGTGCAAGTGGGCGCATGCGGTGACGTGTACGTGGTCAAAGCTGCCAAGAAATAGAAAGGAAATGGCAAGGGGGCGGGACTAAAGCTGAGGTAAAATAGTGTGGGGGGGGGAATGGCCGCAAAGGTGGAGAAAGAGGTGTGGTATTTCCCCTTCCCCCACCTCCTCCGATTACACCTCAGTGAGGACTGGCAAAGCCACTACATGGGGATGGGGGGAATGAGCAGTCCACGCTACCACCACTGCACCAGCCAGCTTCACATTTTTTCAGATGGTGACCCATGAGGGATTTGGACAAACATCTGGAGCAGAGGTCCATCCATGGCTGTTAGCCACAAGGTATAGATAGGAACTCTCAGGCTGGGACAAGGGATGCCCTGTAGTCTTGGTGCTTGGGGGTGGGGGCAACAGTGGGATGGGCTTCTAGTGTCCTGGCCCCATTGGTGGACCTCCTGATGGCCCCTGGTGTTTTTGGCCACCGTGTGACACAGAGTGTTGGAGTGGATGGGCCACTGGCCTGATCCAACACTGACTTCTCTTATGTTCTTATGGATAAGCATATGGGCCCCTATATGTGTTTTAAAATTTGTTATTATCAATAAATACATGTACCTTTTTTATGGAAAGGTTTTAATATTGGCCCTCCTTTTCACTAACCTTTGTTTGGTTCTGGAGTTTACCATTGGCCTGATCCAACATTGCCTTCTCTCATGTTCTTATATGGAGCAGAGGTCCATCAGTGGCTCTTAGCCACAAGGTACAGATAGGAACTCTCGGTCTGGGGCCAGTGATGCTCTGTCTTCTTGGTGCTGGGGGGCAGCAGTGGGAGGGCTTCTAGTGTCCTGGCCCCACTGCTGGACCTCCTGAGGGCACCTGGTATTTCTGGCCACTGTGTGACAGAGTGTTGGACTGGAGGGGCCACTGGCCTGATCCAACATTGGCTTCTCTTCGGTTCTTATGATATATTTGTTGCATTCGAAACACCCCCGGAGCAGCTGATGGAGTCTTATGGGCAAAAATTTTACTTGGTGAGCGACTGGCATTAAAGGTGTGAGCAAGCGATTTGGCTGCTGCATACATTAGTTCGCTCTGGAGCCCTCCTTCCTGAGCTAAGACAAAAACGTGTGAGCCGGAGGCTAAAAAACTGTGAGCCGGCTCACACTGACTCAGCATATTCTCAAGAGGGATTGGGAGGCAACTGGGCTGTCTTGTACTCTGAGAAGAAAGACATCTCGGCCTCGGAAGCTAGTGGAGGAGCAAAGGCAAAAAGGGGTGCCACTGTCGTTGCCACCAGACATTGGAACAGCCACGGAGATGGGAGGCAGAGTTACCAGTTTGGGGATGGCAACCAGTGTTCCCTCTAAGCTGAGTTAGTGTGAGCTAGCTCACAGTTTTTTAGCCTCCGGCTCACATATTTTCGTATTAGCTCAGGAGAGGTGGCTCCAGAGCAAACCGATTTCTGCAGTTAGCCCAATCGCTCGCTCACAACTTGAATGCCAGTAGCTCACAAAGTAGGATTTTTGCTCACAAGACTCCACAGCTTAGAGGGAACATTGCAACCTCCCCCCCCCCCCCATTTTTTTCCATTCTTAGCCCGTAATGAAATGGGGGGCACAGGCGGACCAAACAATGCCCCCTGGAAGTTTCAGAAACAGCCTCTCCGTCGGTTTCCTTTTCGGCAACTACCAGGCTACTGAATTTGTATAAACTGAACTCAGAGCTTTTTTCTTCTGGAAAAAGAGGTGCCGGAATTCTCAAGAGGGAAATGAAGAAACAACACACGGGATGATTTGAAACAACATTATTTTCACGCGCTACGGACTTACCTCAACTTTAAAGCCGTTTCCAAACTTTACATGTGTCACCAACTTCCTCAGTTCTTTTTTCGGGCCTTGCTTTTGGTGCTCAACACTGAATGATGAACTTGAAGCAACCGTGTTTTAACATACCGTGTTGGCTCAAAGACTGTTAAGGGAGGTCCAACAATTTTTATAAATTTACATTTCCCCCCGAGAATTTTGCTTCCACGAAGAGGTTCCAGAACTCCATTTTGGCATGTTCCCCCAGGAAAAAAAAGAGCCTTGACTGTACTTTAGCCTGGCTAAAAAGAGAACGCTCTGTTCTATCTTGATTTCGTCTTCTTCATTCATTCATTCAATTTATAGCCTGCCCTCCCCTGTATAACGGAGCTGCGGTGGCTCAAGTGGTTAAGACGCTGAACTGCAGGCTGTGGAAGGTCGGTAGTTCAGCAGTTCGAGACCCGAGTGTCCCGCCTGACAGAGTGAGCTCCTGTCTCTAGTTCCAGCTCCTGCCAACCTAGCAGTTCAAAAACAAGAAATTGCAAGTAGAGAAATAGATACCACTTCGGTGGGAAGGTAACAGCGTTCCGTGCGCCTTGGCGTTTAGTCACGCCGGCCACATGACCACGGAAACGTCTTCGGACAGCGCTGGCTCTTTGGCTTTGAAACGGAGATGAGCACCGCAACCCTAGAGTTGGATTCGACTGGCTTTCGAGCAAGGGAACCTTTACCTTTACCCCTGTATAACAGGGCTCAGAGCGGGTAACAGCATTCATAAAACACTCCATACAATTAAAACATTAAAACAATTCTATAATACAACAGTAGAACAATAACAAACAGATGGGGTGTAAAAGGGGCACAATCTAGCGCTCCTTATCCAGGAGCGAAGCATGTTGGCAAACATGCTGATTTTTACATAGAGTCATTCAGTTTCCATGCTTTGCACTGATCGTATTTAGGTAGCAGGAGAAATCTGAGTAACTGAAGAATGTCTTGCTGTGTATAGAATCACTCTTTTAAGATTCCCAAATATATAAGAGTGGCAAAGCTGATAATTTCTGAACAGCAGATTAACATGTAACATAACGATGTTCGAGATATGCAAAGTGAAAACTAAGTAGCATGTTGTTATTTAGTTTTCACTTTGCATCGTGACGTTACATGTTAATCTGCTGTTCATTCTCTGGCTAGAAGTCCGAACCTTACCTGCCATTCCAATGTATTTGAAAAAGTGTGTTTTGCACACGAAAGCTCATACCAAGCCCTAGATGGTCGGGGTCCAGCTTACCTAAGGGACCGCCTTTCTTCATATGTTCCCCCGTGAGCACTATGGTCTGGGACGCAACACCTCCTGGCAATGCCAGGTCCCAAAGAGGCCAGGCTGGCCGCTACCAGGGCTAGGGCTTTCTTGGTGGTAGCTCCTACCTGGTGGAACGAGCTCCCGGAGGAGATCCGGGCCCTGCGGGCCCTTGCACAGTTCTGCAGGGCCTGTAAGACGGAGCTCTTCCACCAGGCGTATGAGTAGGAGCCGCCACTACCATCACTACTGTTCCATCATAACCCGGCCCTGGAAGAAGGAATATCAGCGTTTCCCGGAACAGATGACGCTGAGTAGGTAGAGCAGTGTAATAGAGCAGTTGTAATATGCCATCTGTGGAATATCATGGTAGAACATCTAGAGCACTTTTGTTAATATTAATGTTACTGTACTGTAATGATTTTAAATGGTTTTAAATATGTTTTATATTGGCTTGTGCCTCTTTGTAAGCCGCCCTGAGCTCGCGTAGCGGGGAGGGCGGGGTATAAATGGAACTTAAAAATAAATAAAATAAATTTGTTCTACCGCTTCAGACCAACACGGCTGACCACCTGGATACGATGGTTTCTGAAAAGACAAGATTCCTTACACTATGCTTAACAGATAAATCGCAAGACTCCTGCTTAGCAGGAAGTTCTACTAATTTTTTTTGCAAGGAAAACATTGCTGGATACATTTTCCATTTTGCTCACTTGACACTTCCGTTTCATGTCTGAAAAATCCAAATGAAAATCCCACGGTGTCCTTAGTGTTGCCTTTATTTCCAGTAAGTACTGGACATTCAAATTCACTAGAATACGAGAAGAGATATACTGAAATCCTTTACTGAGGGAAACAACTCAACCCTTCCGTCATTGCCTCAGGTATCGAAATCTCATGAGGGAGACCTAAGTTATTCTTGTGTATTTCCTTGGTGGTACCAGTTCTTCTAAAATTGCCCCAGTTCACTTTAAGACTATTGTGTTTCACCATTTCTTCTTGGCATGGGGATAAAGAAAAACACCATCATTAAATGGTATTTTAATGGTACTAGATTTATGGGGCAAAATCTCCCCACCACAAATAGTAAGTAAAAGATACAGAAAAGGGTATTTCCCCCCCCTGAAAGTGTTTCCAGAAATGGGTGTTCCACAATGAGTTAGAGGAAACTGGCCCTCGTGTAGCTTTCCTACAATTCAGCCATATCTGTTTTCACACTTAGGAACATACCTGCACTTACGGAAAAAAGCTGCTGAGAAAAACTCTGTTTTCAAAGGATTTGTTTGTTTGTTTTAAAGCCAGCGTAAATTTCCATTGAAAGGCCATAAGAAATGACATTTCAGAGTAACAATTAACCACCTTTATCCTTAGGTAAAAATGCATTTTCCAATGTACCAACAAATTTTTGTCTCATTTGTGCTTTGAAAGACCGATACCATTCCATGAGCCTTTTTCTTCTTTGAATCTTTTGTTGCAATGTCATATTTTGCTCTTGTTCTAAAACAGCAGGGAGTTCTTTCCAGTTTTTAATAAAGATGAAGGGGGCTCCCGTAGTCTTTAATAACTGCAGTGGAGCGTTGTGGTTGACAGACGAATTCCCACAATTTCCTGGTGTCATGACATCTTCCACAACGGGGACAGAGCCGAACGAACACGCCTCATAAATTCTGTAACATTCCGTATTTACACCCACAGGGCATAACGTGAGATCGCTCTGGAGCAGTGCGTCTTGATATTTCTGAAGGCTTTCATTGGTTTCTTGAGGCCACCACCTGGGAATAGAAGAGGGGACTGAAAATATACTTCTCTTCAAATGATGCATACAGCAAAAGATCCTAATTAGTCTCAGGATTTAATCCTAAAACAGTATCTAACAGCGCTCTGAATTTCAGAAATCAGTATCTCAAGCAGTTTCTCAATATTTAGAGAGAAGCTGTAATGATTCCTTGTTTTATGAGTGTGTGCGTGCCTTTAAATGCTTGGTTGGAGTGCATGGTTAGTAGACTAGAGTGATTGAGAGAGACCAATGTTGTGTCAAAACAAACAAAAAGTAAAGGAAAAAAGACTGTGTGTGTGATACATTTGATAGACATATTTTCAAGTCCCTTTATCCAAGCTACTTACAGAATAACCAACCTCATATTTTGTTCTTACTTCAATAAATCATCTTTTGTTCAAGTTTATCCCCGAATTTAGTTCTGTCTTTCCTCAGGACCACATAGATCCCTGAAAAGCCCTGACTCTAAGTCACCTTACCAGCAAATGAAACAGAGAGGAGGTTTGGAAATCCTTAAATTCCTGGTGGCAGCCGAATCTACCCCGTTTACAAAAGCAAAGAGCACATTTAAAGGGAAAACCAGTCCTCCCTAAAGAGAGGACGCCACAGAAGCATACCTAGAGGGCAAAGAAATTCCACTCATAGTACTGACCTTTAAAGCCCTATGCGGCCAGGGACCAACATACCTACAGGACCGTCTCTCCCCGTATGTGCCCCGGAGAGCTTTACACTCTGCAGAGCAACCTCTACTGGTAGTCCCCAGCCCGAAAGACATCCACTTAACCTCGACGAGGGCAGGGATTTCTCTGCCCCAGCCCCAACCTGGTGGAACATGGTCCCAGTTTGGTGTAGTGGTTAAGTGTGCGGATTCTAATCTGGGAGAACGGGCTTTGATTCCCCACTCCTCCACTTGCAGCTGCTGGTGTGACCTTGGGTCAGTGACAAGTTATTTCAGAGCTGTTCTCTCAAGGACTGTTCTGGAAAGAGCTCTCTCAGATGGGCCCCACCTACCTCACAGGGTGTCTGTTGTGGGGAGGGGAAGGGAGAGCCGCTCTGAGACGCCGAGTGAAGGGCGGGGTATAAATCCAATCTCTTCTTCTTCTTCAGTTGAAATTGGGGCCCTGCGGATCTACTACAATTCCGCAGGGCCTGTAGAACGGAGCTGTTCCGCCAGGCCTTTGGCCGGGGTGGCAGTCGTCCAAACATACCGGCCCCCACCGCTGCAGTGCTTGCATTGCTCAAACAATTTGCCCTACTCACAGAGGCCAACAGAACATCATTGCAGGAGACACTACGAATCTGCCTTGGCTAGCGGCTATCGATCTGACTGGACTGAAACTCAACGACAAATTTTATCTTTTCATGTAAATTTTGTTTGTTCCTATTTAAACTCTGGTGTCTTATTGTTATTATGTTGTTGATGGAAATGCTGTGACCCGCCCCGAGCCCGCTTGCGGTTAGACAGCCATAAAGAAACACCGTGATAGAACAAAACACACTTCTACTAATATGTACTTGCATCTTCGTATATTGATTTACTTGCAATAAGGACTCTAGTATATCTTATACACATACAAAAACCTAAAGTGCATTGTATCAACTAATAGAAAAGTCCACAGCTACAAAGACCTATTCCAACGCTGTAGACTATCTTGCTCCTGACAAAGGACTGATGAAAGTTGCGAACGTCATAAATGATGAACGATGCAGCAGGCTGTATATTCTCCACAAAGAGTAATTCAACATACAATATGACAATATTGTTATTCAGTTCCAGGAAAATATGTCTGCCTGAAGAAGGATTTGTCAAAACGCACAATTTTTGCCGAGGAGGCGTGTTGCTTGCTTTGACGCTTGCTGAAACACTTTGTGTGGGAAATACAACCGCCTGCTGCATTTCTCATGCCTCCTTTGATGCCTGCTGAAGTACTCTTTGTGGAGAATATAGCAGCCTGCTGCATCTTTCATCATTTACGACTGTTGCAACTTTCATCAGTTCTTTATCAGGAGCAAGAGAGTCTATGGTGTTGGAATAGGTCTTTGTAGCTGTAGACTTTTCTATTAGTAGATACAATGTACTTTAGGTTTTTGTATGTGTATAAGATATACTAGACAGGAGCTGCGGTGGCTCAAGTGGTTAAGACGCTGAACTGCAGGCTGTGGAAGGTCGGTAGTTCAGCGGTTCGAGACCCAGGTGCCGCATGACGGAGTGAGCTCCCGTCTCTAGTTCCAGCTCCTGCCAACCTAGCAGTTCGAAAGCAAGAAATTGTATTGATTAGGGTTTATTCCAGGATATTATGAAGGAAATTAAGAATTTACAATACCGAGCTGGATTAAGACGCTGACACCTCCTTTAAATATAGGATTACATCTGAGGAAGACTGTCAAGTTGAAATGAGTTCACAACCAGGTACTCATTATGTTGGACTAGGTGGACTTTTTTACAATATTGTATAAGTGAGAATGTTGGACAAATTGTTGCAATTTTGTAAAGTTTTAGAAAAGCAATGTAAATCTTATAAATGTTGTTCATAACCCTAGATATAAGTCTAATAAATCAAATCGAATTGCGTTTGAGTGCACATTATGTCAAACTGTGCACATATTCCATTTTTGGTCTTGGCCCCAAGATTTCTGTGAACGCTCTCCTTTTGCTTGTTGAAATCTATTCCGCATAATTTGTTGACGTGTTCTACTGGAACGGTAGCAACCTACGAACATTCTTTTGGTGGTGAACTATAGTACTCACTCTTCTCTGGCAGAAATCCAACACATTTTATCCAGCCCGCTTTGCCTCAGGACTTGCATTAGGATCTCTCTGGAAGAGTTTTTATAAATCGTTCCTAAAAAGTTACACTGGTACGACCGTGGATTGTGAAGCATCGACCAGCTGGGTTCCACCACAGGAAAATTTCTGTACCTGTAATTGTAAAGAAAAACAGCAGGTAGGATGGCTTGCTTAAATGAAAAGCGAATGCACTGGTTTTGAGCTATTTGTACATTCAGGGTGCAATGTGCCATGCTTGATCTACAGTGCAATCTTATGCACTTCTAAATACATTAAAGTCACTGGGTGTCAGAAACCCGGTTAAATCAGTTCTCAACAACAGCCAGTCTGTAGGAAGCTAACTTTATTGAGATCGTTGATAGATACCATTCTGGAAAAGTCCTTTGTCAGAACTAATGATGATCACAAGAAGGTTACAGATATAGTGGTTTCAAGGAGAAGCAATAAAGTTCAGGACCCAATCACCCCACAGTATTCGCCCGCCAGAACTAACAGCTGACTACCCCCCCATTAAACACGCATTCGTCTCGGAGCATCCCTCCCGCCAAAACTAACAGTTGCCTATCCCCCAGACACGTAGCCTCTATATCACAAGGAAACAGAATAAAAAACAAGTAAGACGCTGGGACATTTGGCTCCACCAGGGGTCATTTCGTAGGAAAAAGAGGTGCAGGGGCTCATTAGCATAACTCATTTGCATAGGCCACACCCCCTGACATCACTAGAAGTGTGTCAGAAGGCAACACCCACCGCTCAGGCTCCACTGGACTGTTTTGGATTGCTAGCTATTGGGGGGGGGTCGCAGAGGAGGGAGAGCTTGTACCTGAATAAAACTTGGTCTTAAAGGTGCCACTGGACTGTTTTGGATTGCTAGCTATTGGGTGGTGGTGGGGAACGTGCATATCTGTCCTCGCAGAGGAGGGAGAGCTTGTACCTGAATAAAACTTGGTCTTAAAGGTGCCACTGGACTGTTTTGGATTGCTAGCTATTGGGTGGTGGTGGGGAACGTGCAGATCTGTCCTCGCAGAGGAGGGAGAGCTTGTACCTGAATAGAACTTGGTCTTAAAGGTGCCACTGGACTGTTTTGGATTGCTAGCTATTGGGAGGGGGAACGCGCAGATCTGTCCTCACAGAGGAGGGAGAGCTTGTACCTGAATAAAACCTGACCAAGGGTCTGGGAGGGGGGCTCTGCAACTTACCTGGCTTCTTCTTGCTCTGACTGAGGGCTGCTGGGAGCAGGGGGTGGGGCTTATTGCATGTGCCCGCCCCCTGGGCTCTTTACTGCCGGAGCTCCGCTCCTGTGCGCTCCTGCAGGAAATGACCCCTGGGCTCCACATCAAAGAGAGGGGAACCCCTCTCTCCATGGCAGGCGAGCTGTAAAATTCACGGGAGAGCCTGACAGTGGGTTTAGAAGAATGCGATTCTGTTTAGGATCGCCCTTTTAGTGGCTCGCCCTCTACCCCAACTTACCAGTGTTTCCCCCCCACCCTCTTCAACCGTTCTCCGTGTTCCCCCACTGTCATTTTCTTCAGTCTTCCCCTTGCTGATCTATATTCACCTTCTTGTCGTCATTATACAGCTGATTTTGGCTTTCACTCCTTCGGAGTTGACTTCCTACTTCGCCGAGTTAAGTGTGCCCTGCTGAAAGGATGTGGCAACCGGAGATGGGTGCGAACTGGCTCACGAGCTAAAATTCGGGCCAAACTTGGGCCGGTTCGGAGCTCGGGAATCGACGGAGCACCGAGTCAAGTCCAAGGTTTTGGTTTTGACCTTTAAGGCCTTGAGCGGTCTGGGACCGGCGTATCTGCGGGACCTCCTCCTCCGTTACACCCCCCAGGAGAGCATCACGCTCTTCACAGAACAGCCTGGTGGCAGTCCCTGGCCCTAGAGACGTCAGGCCATCCTCGACCACCGCCTGGGCCTTTTTGGCCCTGGCCCCAACCTCGTGGCACTACCCTCGGCCAAATAACATCAGGGCCCTGTGGGATCTTATGCAGTTCTGCAGGGCCCGTAAGCCAGACAGGAACGGTCGACATCATGGCTGGCACCCTACCTGGATCCCTATTCCTTATGGAACTTATTCTCCCCCTGTAGTTGCGGAGCATGCACAGACCAGATATGGGAGGGAACTGCAAAAATTCTTGCGGCTTGCTTTTAATTACGGTATACTGCTGGATATGGTTTTGGAATTTTGTACATCGCCTAGAGCCCCACCACTGTGGGGATAGGCAATTAATAAATGGAACATTATAATAAAGACGATGATGATGACGTTCGGGGAAGGCGCATTCCCTGAACATTTACCAGACTTTTGGCTGGTTTGGCTCGGCTGTTCGGGGCCAGTCGTTTAAATCTAGCAGCTGAGCTGTGCCGGCCATTTAACCCTTCGTTTTTTCTACCTCCCCCGAGGCAGCAGGGAGCAAAACCGAAGGGTTAAATGGCTGTCAGCCATTTAAACCTAACAGCTCAGCTGTGTGGGGTCCGCTGTTCAGCTCTTAGGTTTAAATGGCTGGCAGTGGGAGCCATTTAACCCTTTGTTTGTTTCTTCCCTGTTGCTTCGAAGAGGGAAGCAAAACCGAAGGGTTAAATGGCTTGGAGCCATTTAAACCTAACAGCTTAGCTGTGTGGGCTCTTAGGTTTAAATGGCTGGCAGTGGGAGTCATTTAACCCTTTGTGCCCCCCCACTGCTTCGAAGAGGGGAGCAAAACCAAAGGGTTAAATAAAGTCCTTTCCCGGGCGAGCCCCACTCCCCCTTTCTCTCGGCTGCAGCAAGCCACAGCCGGGAGAAAGGGGGAACCGAACTCGCCGGACTGGTTTGGGTGGGGCCTGTTTGGTTTGGGGTTCACGGGCTGCTCCGAACCCCAAATCGAACTGCCTTTTTTAGGATCGTGCCCATGCCTAGGGCAACCAGGTCAAGTTTAAATGAAACTCTTTCTTTTAAAAATTAACCCTTAATTCAATAATGCATTTGGCCTTCATTTTTATATTTTCTATAATGTAATCAGAAAAAGAAGAAGATGGGATTTATCCCCCAGCCTGCACTCAGAGAGGCTTACAATCTCCTTCCCTTCCCCTCCCCACAACAGACCCTGTGAGGTAGGTGGGGCTGAGAGAGCTCTTTCGAGGACTGCCCTTGAGAGAACAGCTCTGAGAGAACTTGTGACTGACCCAAGGTCACCCCAGCAGCTGCATGTGGAGGAGTGGGGAATCATACCTAGTTCTCCCAGATTAGAGTCTGCGCTCCTGACCACTACACCAAACTGGCAGAAACTACAGAAAACCAGCAGTCTTAATTATAATTTAGTGCTACAGCCTGCTTGATTTTGATTTGGAACACAAATCACACGAAGCCTTCCAAATGCATTCTGTCTTAATTAACTGTAGGTTTGAGTAAACAGACACAGCAAACAGAAAGGCAGTACATAAACGTAATAAAAATAACGTTTTAAAAACATATCCCTGATTGTATCAAGCACTTACGTGGCTACTCCCAAAGGCCACTGGAAGATATCTTCTTCGTTCACCAAGGGGCTGTCATAGACCAAGAAAAGCAATTCCACAAACCCTCCGTAGCTTTTCAAATATGGGTAAATCCATTCGTTTCTGCACTGTTCGCTGCCGAGCAACACAACCGCAAGGTGCAGCAGCTTGTGAGTTTGTATTAATGTCTGTGCATAATGAAGCCACTGAGTGGCGTAAGAGATCTTTCCTTCCTCTCGGCCATTCAGCACTAGAACCACATTGGAAGATTCTACGGAGAAGTACCCGGGGACTACAGATGGACCGGTGATGAAGCTGTGAAAAACAACAGCAGGATCACAATGATAAAAAACACAACAGAACCGACCAGAGAGGCATTTCATATCAACACAGCTGTTGCTGGACTGTTGTTTGGTTGGTTGTGCTTAGGGGTTGTGCTCTACGTCTTGTTCTCTGAAACACCAAAGCATTGTACAGTTTCTCCGGCAGATATGGAGTCTGCCAATGTAAATTCTTCTTGTTTTGTATTTTTTTTTGGGGGGGGGTCATATGTGCATGTGTCTGTGTGCATGTGAGTACATCTGGAGGTCATGGCGACCTCTGGTGACTGACCCCTGCTGGGGGCCGGGAAGAGATTCAAAGAGGTGGCTGAAAAGAAGAAGAAGAAGAGGAGGAGGAGGAGGAGGAGATTGGATTTATACCCCACCCTTCACTTGGGAGTCTCAGAGCGGCTTACAAACTCCTTTCCCTTCCCCTCCCCACAACAGACACCCTGTGAGGCAGGTGGGGCTGAGAGAGCTCTGAGAGAACTGCCCTTGAGAGAACAGCTCTGAGAGAACTGTGACTGACCCAAGAAGAAGGAGAAGGAGGAGGAGATTGGATTTATACCCTGGCCCTTCACTACCCGAAGGAGTCTCAGAGCGGCTTACAAACTCCTTTCCCTCCCCCTCCCCACAACAGACACCCTGTGAGGCAGGTGGGGCTGAGAGAGCTCTTGACAGAAACCGATCTTCTTCAAGAACACAGCTGTGCCAAAACTGTGGCTTGCCCAAGGTCATCCAGCAGCTGAGAATGGAGGAGTGGGGAATCAAACCCGGTTCTCCCAGATGAGAATCTGCGCACCTAACCACGACACCAAACTGGCTCTCCAGCAGCCAATGGGATCATTTATTGGAAAAGAAAAGGAAATGTCTAGGAATAACAAATGATACGGTGAAGATTACAGAGACCAAAGAAATAAATTGGTTAATTAAAATGCGTATTAAGAAATTGGATATTAATAGCACATCTGCCTGCCCCCTCCTCCCGCCTCTGGTATTCCCTGGAGGTCTCTCATCCAAGTACTTGCCAGGGTCGACCCTGCTTAGCTTCTGAGATCTGACAAGATCAGGCTTGCCTGGGCTATCCAGGTCAGGGTGCCAATGTCCATTCTTAATGGCCTAACCAGTGTTCCCTCTAAGCAGAGTTAGTGTGAGCTAGACTCAAAGGTTTTTAGCCTCCTGCTCACACATTTTTGTCTCAGCTCAGGAAGGATGGCTCCAGAGCAAACTAATTTATGCAATCACCAAATGGCTCGCTCACAGCTTTAGTGCCAGTAGCTCGCAAAGTAGAATTTTTGCTCACCAGACTCCACAGCTTAGAGGGAACATTGGGCCTAACCCTAAAATTTGCCATGCAGGCATAAATGCATGGTGTGTGTGTGTGTGTATGCACCGCTTGCTGCACAGGCACATACCACACCGTACTGCAAGCTAAACACTCCAGGAGGAATCACCCAAAATTGCCTCCCTCCTTGCACGTGTGGACCTTTTCAACAGGAACCCAACGCCAGCGTCTACAACCCTGTTCTTACCGCAGTCCCTTTTGCCCTCTCCATCCTAATGCTCTGCTATCTAGAAAGTGGCATGCTTTTAATACAGTGTCTGCTTTTCCTGTATCTAGGGGGCACACGGCAGACAATGCAAGAAGAATCCTGTCTACCATATTGGCTCTTCCATGAAAATTATGTTTGCAAAATTCCATTCATGTACAGAGTTAACATTCACAAGGCTGTGGTCTAAGTGGCGAAGTGGCATCGCACAACCAGTACCTGAAGAATGACGTCCCCACTTTTAGTCTTCCTTCTCTCCACTGGGCTGACACATCTGCAGGCTCAAGCGGACTTTCAAAGATATGCTGCCACAGGTAAAGGCCTATGAAAACATCACTGGCAATTCAATAATTAGGGACACTTATTTATTATTTTGATTCTCCTCCCCACAATAGACACCCAGGGAGGTAGGTGAGAGAGCTCTGAGAGAACTGCCCTGGAGAGAACAGCTCTGAGAGAACTTGTGACTGACCCAAGGCCACCCAGCTGGCTGCATGCGGAGGAGCAGGGAATCACACCCAGTTCTCCCAGATTAGAGTCCGCGCGCCTAACCACGACACCAAACTGGCTCTCCAGCAGCCAATGGGATCATTTATTGGAAAAGAAAAGGAAATGTCTAGGAATAACAAATGATACGGTTAAGATTACAGAGACCAAAGAAATAAATTGGTTAATTAAAGTGCGTATTAAGAAACTGGATATTAATAGTACATCTGCCTGAGCTCGTAGGGAATGCTCGGTAGGTATCTTATTTGGGTATTGCCTTTCTGATGCAACTGCCGGAGTATTTTTACCGTCTGACCATACCAACGCTCAGAAGAGCTTTCACTATGGCAAAGAGGAATGCCCTTCCTCCGGCAGGTTTTGGAGGGCAGATATAAAAAACAACGTCACATTTAAACAGAACTCTGTGCAGGGGAGGGCATGGTAAAAATCCCAAAATCAATAAAGACAAAATAAAACTTGTAGATGCTCATGATGAGACAAAGTTGAAACTATTGAACATATGATCATGGGGTGTCCTCTATTTGACATGCCTGAGGGCTTTAAATAAATAAAGCATTTGACGGTACGAAGGCATGGGTGATGTGGCTATTATTGGACATAAACGATCCTGTTACTTCTTCTCTGGCAAAATTTTACAGGGGCAATAATTGAATATCAGAATCATAATACTTAGTAAGGCATTGTTTTGTTTTGTTTTCTGCTCAAGGATGTTGCTGTATGAGCAGTGATCGATAGATAATTAGATAGATAATTAGATAGATAGAAAATTAGATAGATAGAAAGACAGACAGACTGACATTGCTTTAACTCATATAAGTAGCACCATAATAACAGATACAGCAGTACGATAGATAGATAGATAGATAGATAGATAGATAGATAGATAGATATAGTATCCAATATAATTAAATTTTGAACAAGTATAACAAATGTTATGCCCTATTGCCCAAGAGAAACTGATAATTAACACCCATAATCCTAAAGTTAACGGGATTTACTTCTAGACAAGTGCGCTTAAGATCACAGCCCATGATGTTAAATCCTAAACATATTTATTAGAAAGTAAGAAGAAGCAGCGATTGGATTTACACCCCGCCCTTCACTTGGAGTCTCAGTGGCTTACAATCTCCTTTCCTTTCCCCTCCCCAAAACAGACACCCTGTGAGGTAGGTGGGGCTGAGAGAGCTCTTTCGAGGACTGCTTGTGAGAGAACTACGGCTTGCCCAAGGTCATCCAACAGCTGCAAGTGGAGGACAGGGGAATCAAATCCACTTCTCCCAGATTAGAGTCTGCGCACTTAACCACTACACCAATTCTACTGAACTCAAAAGGACCATACTAAACCTGTTCTCGCTGAAATCAGGAGCAGAAATACTTCAGAAGCAGCGCTCATATTACTGTGTGCAAATACGTACCAATAGCAGCTTTCCCCCAGATTTGTACTCTGAGGTCTGTTGGTTCCTGTCGCAGTTTCTTCTCTTTTAAAAGCTGCAGACTACTGGCAGAGTTCTGTTGCAAACTATTTTTCTCATCGACTTCCCAAGGGTTCCAGTCTTCCGCTTCCAAAATAAAATGCCCTGAGTATAAAAGATGGAGACTTCTTTGCATGGGTTGCTGAGAGATTAACTAGAGAACTCTAAACATTCCAGATTGCATCCCCCACAGTGCATACCTTGCTAACAGTGTTAAGAATACTACTTTTACAAACACATACCAAGAAGCCAGGGCCAGTCATGATGCTCTGTAATGTGTTTCTTCAGTGATCAGTTCCCCTCCCCATTCTTTCCAGCTCATAGAGTCAGAGTTGGAAGGGGCCATAGAGGCCATCTAGCCAAACCCCCTGCTCAATGCAGGATCCGCCTAAAGGTAAAGGTAAAGGTTCCCTTGCTCGAAAGCCAGTCGAATCCGACTCTAGGGTTGCGGTGCTCATCTCCGTTTCAAAGCCGAAGAGCCAGCGCTGTCCGAAGACGTTTCCGTGGTCATGTGGCCGGCATGACTAAACACCAAGGCGCACAGAACGCTGTTACCTTCCCACCGAAGTGGTCCCTATTTATCTACTTGCAATTTCTTGCTTTCGAACTGCTAGGTTGGCAGGAGCTGGAACTAGAGACAGGAGCTCACCCTGTCTTGCGGCACACTCGGGTCTCGAACCGCTGAACTACTGACCTTCCACAGGATCCGCCTAGAGCAGGGGTTTCAAACTCATTTGTTATAAGGGCCGGATCTGACATAAATGAGACCTTGTTGGGCCAGACCACGTGTGTCATAAAAGGTAATTCACAAAACCAAACAAGGACCCACGGTAAGTAGGAAAACCAACATACAACAAGTATCGTGCACAGATGATTATAACATATCATAAATAATTTTATATTTTTTGAAAAATATTTTTACAATAATTTGTACACATATAATAAATCATCTTAATCAAAAATATCAAACATCATCTCCAAGAATCTCAAAAGCTATTGTACAACCTTTAATAATAGTCCTCCTCTGTTAAATAAAGTTTCAAGAGGGAGGACTCCTTAAAGTCTCTTTATAACATGTGCTCGTGTCTTCCTCTTTAAGGAGTCCTCCCTCTTGAAACTTTATTTAACAGAGGAGGACTATTATTAAAGGTTGTACAATAACTTTTGAGATTCTTGGAGATGATTTTTGATATTTTTGATTAAGATGATTTATTATATATGTACAAATTATTGTAAACATATTTTTCAAAAAATATAAATTATTTATGATATGTTATAACCATCTGTGCACGGTACTAATGTTGTATGTTGGTTTTCATAAAAGGTAATGCCAGATAGCGGAGATATAAACTTTATAAAGGATACAAACACAGAGGGGTTTTTTTTTTACTTAAAATAAAAACATGCTTAAAACAGTAGCACTCTTGCAATGTTTTGTTTATTTAACAGTGTATGATAAGTGACACCTCTTTGCTCTGAATGACTGCATCAAAATGTCTGTGCTGTTGCAATCGGTACATCACCCCAAAAGATACTGCAAAGATGGACAAGAATTACAAAGGGGCTTGCTGGAAATGTAAAAAAGAAGATGGCACCTTTTATCATATGTGGTGAACTTGCAACAAGACAAAAAGATACTGGAAAAATATACATGAAGAAATTAAAAATATTTTTAAAACCAAATTCCTGATGAAACCAGAGACTATGTTACTGGGAATCCTACCAGATAATATAGATAGAACCACACAAGACCTACTTAGATATATATTGACAGCTGCCAGAGTAATATTTGCAATGAAATGGAAGCCGGAAGACTGTCCTACGATAGAGATCTGGAAAGAAAAACTAGCTGAGTATGCAATATTGGCAAAACTAACCAATTATATAAACAAAAGACCACTGAAAGAATTTCAGCAGAAATGGCAAGCTTATCACGCATACAATGGGAATAATTAACTTTTTAAAGTTCTGGAATCACCTAAATATCATATTAAAGGTGATGAAATTGATTATAGTTCCAATACTTTATTCTGTATTCCACTAGCAGTTAAATCATCAGGAAGAACAAAATTTGGATTTAGATAAACAATTAAGAAAATATTAAGGTTTTTACAATGATATACTTTTAGCACAGTAGCTCGTTCATTTGTTAAAGATGTAATTTCTTTTATCGTTAATCGATTCTTGCTAACCTTAGGAAAGCTCTTGTTTATTCTTTAACAGAGAATCTATCCCCAAATTCTGTAATATTGATGTTTTAATGTCTGCTTCTGTATTTGAAATATGTAATACATTTGGTAATCCATCTGACCTTTACTGTTGTACGTGACAACTCATAATATTTGACAAACCTGATGAATTTTTATTTTTCCCTCACCACCTTTCCCCCTTCTATATCCCACCTTTTTTCCTGAGAAAATAATTTTAATTTTTTTTAAAAAAACTCCCATTCTGTCCAATGGGCATTCCAGCATTTCCCATTGTTCCCAATGGGAAATTCTATCATTGTTTCAATACACACACACTCACACACCCCACACAACCAGTGTTCCCTCTAAGCTGAGTTAGTGTGAGCTAGGTCACAGTTTTTTAGCCTTTGGATCACACATTTTTTGTCTCAGCTCAGGAAGGATGGTTCCTGTTGTTGTTCAGTCGCCCATCCGAGTACCAGCTCGGCTTAGCTTCTGAGATCTGATGAAATACTTTGTTGTTGTTCAGCCGCATAGTCGAGTCTGACTCTTCGCGACCCCGTGGACCACATCATGCCAGACCTTCCTGTCCTCCATCGTCCTCCAGAGCTTGCTCAAATTCATATTCGTTGCATTGATAAAACTGTCTAACCATCTTATCCCGTGCCATCCCCGTCTTCTTTGACCTTCAATCTTTCCCAGCATCGGGGTCTTCTCCAATGAGGGCTCCCTTCTCATTTGGTGGCCAAAGTATTTGAGCATCAGCTTCGGTATCTGGCCTTCCAGGGAACAGTCAGGGTTGATTTTCTTTAGGATTGGCTGATTCGATCTCCTTGCAGTCCAAGGGACTCTCAAGAGTCTTCTCCGGCACCAGAATGCGAAAGAACAGCATTGTAATTCGAAAGGGTGGCTCCAGAGCAAACTAATGGATACCGCAGCCAAATCGCTCGCTCCCCACTTTAATGGCGGTAGCTCACAAAGTAGAATTTTTGCTCACAGAGATCCATAGCTTAGAGGGAGCATTGCACACAACACACACACACAACAGGAAGAAATGAAGAAAGGTTAAAGCACTTGGGGCTCTTTAGCTTGGAGACACGACAGCTGAGGGGTGACATGATCGAGGTTTATAAGATTATGCATGGGATAGAGCAGGTAGAGAAAGAGGTACTTTTCTCCCTTTGTCACAATACAAGAACTTGTGGGCACTCCATGAAATTGCTGAGCAGTTGGGTTAGAACAGATAAAAGGAAGTCCTTCTTCACTCAAAGAGTGATTCACACATGGAATCCACCGCCACAGGAGGTGGCGGCTACAAGCATGGACGGCTTCAAGAGGGGATTGGGTAAACTTATGGAGCAGAGGTCCATCAGGGGCTAATAGCCACAAGGTATAGATAGGAACTCTCAGGCTGGGACAAGTGATGCACTCTATTTTTGGTGCTGGGGGGGGGGGCAACAATGGGAGGGCTTCTAGTCTCCTGGCCCCACTGCTGGACCTCCTGAGGGCACCTGATATTTCTGACCCCTGTGTGACACAGACTGTTGGACTGGATGGGCCTTTGGCTGCTCTTCTTGTGTGTGTGTGTGTGTGTGTGTTTGTGTTTTGTGTGTGGGTTGCGTGCAATGCTCCCGCTAAGCTAGCTCACCGTTTTTAAGCCTCCGGCTCACGCATTTTTGTCCCAGCTCAGGAAGGAGGGCTCCAGAGCAAGCGAATTGATGCAGTACCCAATTGCTCACTCACAACTCGAATGTTGGTCGTTGGGTAGAGGGAGCATTGGTGTTGTGTGTGTGTGTGTGTGTGTGTGGCGTGCAATTCTCCCTCTAAGCCTGGATCCCTGTGAGCTGGAGGCTCAAAAACGGTGAGCTAGCTTAGCGGGAGCATTGCACACAACACACAGACACACACACAGGAAGAGCAGCCAGTGCCCTGCAGAAAAAAGCCCAGATGGGCATGCAAAGCACCTTCCTTTCTCCAAGGGCGTGGGGTGGGGGGGGGGGGCGAGGGACCGTCAGGCAGCTGCTCCGCATCCCCCAGGTGTGCCTTACCTGCCCGCCCCTGCTTCTCCCTCTGGCCGGCCCGGGCAGCTGCAGCCACAGCAGGAGGAGCGGCGCGGCGGGGCTTCAGGAAGACGCAGTAGGCGGCGTAGAGGGAGAAGAGCAAGTAGGCGGCCAGCAGCGCCGAGCAGAGCCGCTTGCGAGTCAGCCGCATCCTTCACCGCCGGCCGGGCGCCGCCATCGCGGTCTGCAGCCGCCGGGGGGGGGAGTGGGGCCAGGCGAAGGAGGGCTCTGGCGTCACACAACACCCCCCACCCCCGCGCTAGGAATGGGAGGAGCCGGGGAGGGGCGGAGCCTCTCGATGCAGGGGTGTGTGTGCAGAAGGCGTGGGAAGCAAAGGAGGGGAGCCCAGCTAGCTTGCAGGCTCTGGGTTGCCAGCTTTGGGTTGGGAAAGACCTGGAGATTTGGGGGGGTGGAGCCTAGGGAGGGTGGGGCTTGGGCACTGGCCCCGGGCTGAGGTCCCTGTCCACCTCCAGGCTTCATCCTCATTTATAGGGATGCCAGCCTCCAGGTGGGACCTGGGGATCCCCTGGAGGTACATCTGATCACCAGGCCGGGTGTTCCCCTCTAAGCCGAGTGAGTGTGAGCTAGCTCACAGATTTTTTTAGCCTCCAGCTCACACATCTCAGCCAGTTTGGTGTCGTGGTTAAGTGCCTGGACTCTAATCTGGGAGAACCGGGTGCGATTCCCCACGCCTCCACTTGCAGCTGCTGGATGACCTTGGGCAAGCCATGGTTCTGTCAGAGCTGTCCTTGAAAGAGAGCCGTTTCTGTCAGGAGCTCTCTCAGCCCCACCTACCTCACAGGGTGTCTGTTGGGGGAAGGGGAAGGGAAAGGAGTTTGTCAGCCGCTCTGAGACTCCCTTGGGTAGTGAAGGGCCGGGTATAAATCCAATCTTCTTCTTCTTCTTAGCTCAGGGAGGAGGGCTCCAGAGCAAACTCATTTATGCAACGGCCAAATGGCTCACTCACAACTTTTAATGCCACTGGCTCACCAAGTAGGATTCTTGCTCACAAGACTCCATAGCTTAGAGGGAGCATTGCACCAGACTGCAGAGATCGGTCCCCCCTGGAGAAAATGGATGCTTTGGAGGGTGGGCTCTCTGGCATTGGACCAACGCTCCCTCTAAGCTGTGGAGTCTTGTGAGCAAAAATTATCTTTGGTGAGCTACTGGTGTTAATGTTGAGAGCGAGCGATTTGGCTGCTGCATGAATCAGTTTGCTCTGGAGCCCTCCCTTCCTGAGCGCAGACAAAAAAATGTGAGCTGGAGGCTAAAAAATTGTGAGCTGGCTCACACTAACTGCATTGGACCTCACTGAGGTCCCTCCCTGTCTTTTGGTGTACACAGTTTGGTGTACACAATTTGGTGTGGTTAGTGTGCGGACTCTAATCTGGGAGAACCGGGTTTGATTCCCCACTCCTCCACTTGCACCTGCTGGATGACCTTGGGCAAGCCATAGTTCCGATATGAGCTGTTCTTGAAAAAGAGCAGTTTCTGTCAAGAGCTCTTTCAGCCCCACTTACCTCACAGGGTGTCTGTTGTGGGGAGGGGAAGGGGAAGTTCGTACGCCGCTCTGAGACACCTTTGGGTAGTGAAGGGCGGGGTATAAATCCAATCTCCTCCTCCTCCCCAGGTTTGATTCCCCACTCCTCCACTTGCAGCTGTTGGATGACCTTGGGCAAGTCATAGTTCTGTCAGAGCAGTTCTTGAAAGAGCAGTTTCTGTCAAGAGCTCTCTCAGCCCCACCGACCTCACAGGGTGTCTGTTGTGGGGAGGGGAAGAAAATGGAGTTTGTAAGCCGCTCTGAGACTCCCTTGGGTAGTGAAGGGCAGGGTATGAATCCAATCTCCTCCTCCTCCCTGGGTTTGATTCCCCACTTCTCCTCCACATGCCAGGCTTTTGGAGCCACCACCACTAACATCACTAACACCGCTACTGCCAACAACTGATATCTATGTTGGTGGAACCCTGACCCATTGGTCCCTTAAATACTGCCTGAGCCAATCACCCGAGACCGCTGAGGAAGATCGAAGAGCTGACCATTAAATGAGGAATATTGCTAGCACTTTATTATGTTTGAGTTTTAATATTGTATTTATTAATTTATGTGATTGTGTTGTCGGAGTTTTACTGTGTTTGTAAGCTGGCCTGAGCCGGCCCAGGCCTGGGAGGGTGGGATAAAAATAAATAAATTAAGCTGCTGGTGTGACCTTGGGTCAGTCACAAGTTCTCTCGGAGCTGTTCTCTCAAGAGCAGTCCTCAAAAGAGCTCTCTCAGCCCCACCTACTTCACTGGGTGTCTGTGGCGGGGAAGGGAAAGGAGATTATAAGGCGCTGGGGCTGCCACATGCCACACGCCCAGGTCGGTGGCTGGGGAATGACGGAGGAAGGAGGAGGGCCGGTGAAGGCCAGCAGGAGAAGTTATCTGAAGAAGGGAGCCGTGTCTCACAAAAGCTCATATGCCCTGCCACAGATCTGCTTAGTCTGGAAGGTGCTCCTGGACTCTGGCTCTTTATGACTGCAGCAGGGGCATCACTTAGTGTTGACTTCTACAATAGGAAGTGGGCAGGTTGTTAGGTCTCCCCTGGTCACCAGTGGGGGATGGGAGTAGGGTTGGTGCCACCTCCAGGTCGGAAAAGTCCTGGAGATCTGGGGGGAGAGCGTGGAGAGGACAGGGTCAGGTTAGAACCGATAAAAGAAAGTCCTTCTTCACCCAAAGAGTGATTCACACGTGGAATTCACTGCCACAGGAAGTGGCGGCGGCTACAAGCATGGCCAGCTTCAAGAAGGAATTAGATAAGCACAAGGGGCGGACCCGCGATACTCACGGGGGGGGAGGCAGAGGAGGAGGTGGTAAGTCCCCCCCCATCCCGCCGGTTC